AAAGTGTCTAACCTGGCTTTTTGTGTGATCAGCTACACAGCTCAGTATTCAAATTGTGGCAACTTAGTACTGTTTCTAAGCTCATAGATCTGTTCAACCTAAATAAAGGTAGTGAACTCTCTGAATGCTTTGTTTTGTGATGCTTCAGGTTTGTGGTGACTTTTATCAGAAATCTGTCAGGTTTTTTTGTGTCACGCCAGTTGGTGCATATGTCTTGAATGCAAGTCCCATCATTCAGTTTTATTCCTTTGACATCCCATGGACTTATTGATGTTGAGGAACCTTCTTCAGCTATCTGAAAATAATGGTTATTAGACTGAAATAAAAACTGAAAGCATGTGAGTTGGTTTTAATTTACTAATGTGAGTTCCTGTGTAAATAAAGGCTTATTCTTGTACAAGTAATGTAAATTCCGTAGTCCAAACAAGGGAGAAATGTTAGAAGCCTATCTGCTGATATGAATGTCTGTACTTGCTTATCAGAAGTTATGTGACTCAGGTAATCTTGAGAAAGCAAAATGTCAAATACTAAACACTTGCTGGGTGATGTAACTGGCTTTTACATTGTTGTGGAGCTTTCTTGTCACTGAGCATAAGTGATCTGCCGAGATGCATTTTGCCAGATATTAATGTCATGAATTATCTAAAGTGATTCATAATTGAGAAGAGTCTTTCTAAAGGAGAGGAAAAAAAAAAAAAAAAAGGAAAGAAAGAAGAAAAACCACAAAAACAAGCAGTCAAAAAACAATGCTCTTTTCATGCTCTCATAAATGTGTTTATGTAAAATAAATTTCACAGTATTACAAAACCTGCAAGTTGTACGTGTCAAACCGGCTCTCAGCTATTTCAATTTAGGCATAATTTCGCTATGCACATAATACAACAGTAAAATTCTAATTTTTGGCAAATTATATCTTGTTTACTTTCTCCAATGAGACCATTTTAAAATGATCTCTGAGTTGTCATGTGTCTTTATTGCACAAAGCAGGAAAAACTATGTTTTGCCTCTATCAGCAGAAGTTGGTTTTTCTTCACAATATACCTGTTCAAAGAGCTCACAATGCATACAAAATGCTCAGCCATATTGTAGATTTTGTGAAGCGTGAAATTAAAAATCTAAATATTTATCCTGGGTTTTCCCATTAGTGTGTCATTTGGCTTTCCTGCGGACTCCGTGGTGAAGAGGTGTTTCAAACCTATGTCACCTATGTCATAATGCAGTTCTTGAGAGGTATCCATGCATCCTACAAGCTGTCAGTTTGTTTCCCCTTTTTTGGATCATTTTTCTTCATGAAGGAAACTTGATTTCTGTAACCTAGCATAGGAATTGTAGGCTGCTACGGATTTAGTAAGTCTTACTTTTCCTTGCAACAGTGAGGGCACAGTGTGAAATAGCCTGAGAGTGATCGATAGAACTCTTTTGAATACAAGGATGACTGATAGTTAACTAATGGTCTATCTGTATTCCCAACTCATATACATGCTGAACAAAATTTTTTTTGTGTCTAAGCTTAGTATAACCTTATATATATATTTTTGTAGAGGTTCTTCAGCAAAATGGTGGATGGAAAGGGAATGCTTTTTGTTTTTTAGTTTTTTTTGATTCCTTATCTCTTCTCCAGAGAGATACTGTTGCCAAGTTGGCTTTTTTTTTTTTTTTTTTTTTTTTTTTTTTTTTTTTTTTTGTGCTTGCATCAGTGTGGTGGTTATTGCAGATACAGCATGTCTATAATTTTGTGTAATGATGCTGTTTCTTGTTAATAAATACTAAAGGCAACAAATAATCGACAGTTGTTTTGCAGACATTGCACAGCTCACTAAATATGTGTTTTGGAACTGAACTTAGAGTAAATTCACGTTTACAGTTCTCTGTAAAAAACAAAGACACATCGTCTTAAGACTTCAGGAGACATCCAGTGGAGTTTTGCCTGGAGTCTACCTAAGCACTAGCAGATAGACTAGCAGATTGCTGTGCTGTTACCTGCACCAGGGAAGATTGACCATATTTGATGAAGTCAAAATTACAGCCAATGGTAAATATTCCACAAATGCAGCTTTACTGTATTGTTTACAATTATTTTGACATATCAATATTTGATTAATAAGTAATTGTTCAGCAAATTGTCATTAAGAGGGGAAAAGTTGATGTCATTACTGTGTCACGTGATAGAAAAAGCAGGAAATTCTCCTCCACTTGAAAAGATCCAGTCTTGAAACAGAGAGAGAGAGGCTTCATCAGTGATTTTTTTCTTTACATCAATAGTTCTGTACTAATAGTTTCTTTGCAGTAAGCTATATTTTGACTTAATGCAGGTGCAAATGGAGTTTTTACTTGGCTTGTGGCAGAGTAACTAGATGTAAACCTTCAACAGATATATCATGTCTAAGTACATATCTCTGTTTCCATCTAGGAATCTCTTTATAAGCATAAGGAGCTATTTTAAAAAGCTCATTAAAAACTTTTTAAGCATTCACAAACATTCAGTTTTACCTGTTGAACAATCATCACAGATCCCCAGCAGTGATCAAAAGAACTGGGAGCAACAGTGTTCCTGCTTTTGTTTCTCTGTGGTCACAAAGATACAAAGATAAAAACCATAATGCCTACCTGTAATCTTAACTATCCAATCTTGTTTTTGAGGTGTGTGTTGCTTGTGAAGTGGCTTTTTTGTGTTGGCTGGAGGTTTATTGTTTTGCTGTTTTTTTTCAACTGACGAACACATGAAGCAGTTTTCACCATCCAGCTAGAGCTAGATTGCTCATGCTTGTTTCCTTTCTTTTTTCTTTTTTTTTTTTTTTTTTGTGCAAGAAGCCACTTCTTTAACTGTTGGTTAGGGAATGCAAGTTTTAAATAAGTAATAGTGTAAGCAAAATGCAAATTCAAAGTTAAAATAATCTGTCTTGCTAAGATGATTTCTTCTTTCAGTTTTTATTGGCCTCTGGTGCTTTTTTTTTGCTGGTTCTCTGGAAACCCTTATCCAAAGGAGATGCAGTAAAACAATGCAGGCTGAGATCCTCTACTTGTGACAGTGCTGGTTTTGAGTGCAGCAGTTTCAGATTAGAGTTTTATCCCATACTCATAAGGTATATAATAAGGCTTTATTAAAAAGAAATACCGTACAACAACAAAAACTCATGTGAAAAGTGTAGTGTTTTCCACATGCTCATACACATATCCACATGCTACTGTTCATAGCAAACAGTAAAGTCCTAAAGCCATAGGACCTGATGAGAAAGGGAACATGTGTGTTTTCTATGTGCTTTACGTGTTCTTTTTTCCAGACCTCAACATTAGTTATCAGCGCCTCTGTTAAATTGTTTCCCCACAGGGTTTTATTCATTTTATTTTTTCCTTCAGATCAGTTTTCTCTAGTTGTGCTGTTACCAGAGGTTTGCCTTTGCTGCTGTTGCTTATCTTGAGGCTTCTGGCTTCTAGAAAGTATTTCAGCATGTTTGCCTTCATGTTTGGGGATTCTGTTTGTTCTGTCGATGTCTGGTTTGTGGTTGGCTTTTTTTTTTTTTTTTTTAATTTAATTTTTTTATTTTTCTTTAGTGGTAAACCTGTGCAGTGGAAGTGTGAATTAGTGGTAATTGATATCAGTACTAGCATGCTTTTTCCTCTGAGCTAACTTTGCTTTTGTACTGAGAATACTTACAATGATGATAACTCATTTGTTCTTCTTAAGCTTTAGCTAAATGTTTGACTTGTCATAATTTAACCCTGGCATAAGGCATGCTGATCTATTTAGTGCCAATGTCAGAGTTACCAAAGGCTAGCTTTTACAAATCAGGTTTTAGTCTTTAGGACCAAGATGAGTCATTTAATCTGATGCAGTGAAAATAAAAAAGTAGAAAAGATGCTGAGGCGTAGAGGCTCATTTTCCTCTTCTTGTGATCAATAGAATTTTTTTCTACTGGGAGTAAATTGTTAAGGTGCATACAGTGTAACATTGGTGGTGGTGTTGGTAGTGTGGTGGTACATTGGTACTGTGGTGTTGTCCAAAGAGCAGAAATTCAGGTTTCTTACAGTTAATGGAGGAAAAAAAATATTATTGGAGTCCACTGAATTAAAGGAATTCCCCCTTCTCCATTAACGTACTAACATGAAGAGAGTGGAGTTGAGCAAATAGGTTTGCCCATCTATGCTTATGTCTTCTTCTTTCCCTCACCACAGTGTCCCAGTTTAAACCAGTGGAGGAGCTCAGATAACAGATAATGAACATAGCATGGGTGCTAGGATGTGTTTTCTGCTGGGACAAGGAACCAACCATAAGCTGTGGAATTAGTGTTTTCTTGTCCTGTAGCCTGCAATTATTGATGGCCAATAATAGTTTCTGAGAAACTCATTACTTTCCCGAAACTTGAGAAAATATTAAATACTCATAAGGATATTATTGAGTGATGAAAGGCTAAATGAATTGTGGCTTGTTGGTTACTGTGTTAAAATAGCTTTTTCTTCTCATTGAAAAGTTTCTAGATCTCTTGTTATAAAATGGTTAAAATTATCTGGCTTTGGTAAATGTTTTGCATTATGAGCAAATATCAACAGGTAAGGATCACTCAGGAGTTTCAATAGGGAAGGCTTCTGAGATACTACTTAATAAATGGAGGATGTTTGGCATTTACACGTCTATGAAATCTACCCCTTCTGAGAGGGCTTCATTAAGAGCCCATCATTTGATATTCTTAGGATCCACAGTCAGGTTTGAGAGGGTTTTGTATTCTGTAGTGAGGTATCTCTGCACTTAAAAAGGGAAATCCGCTTTCCTGCTTCCTGATGAAGTTTGAGTGCAAACTTGGACTGTTAATAGAAAGAACTGTCCCAGTTGATTTCAGGTGTTTGATTTTTACAGGCTGGCTCATTTTAGTCTTTCCTAAAGAGATCTGTGTGCCTCCACTTAAGGCTTCAGAAAGTTGCATGCATCACAGAATTTGCTACTGAATTAATACATCTCAGCAATTGTAGACTATCTAAAAGACCTTCCACCTCTTTTCTCTCAGACTCCAAACCGTGACAAAGCGGAGCAAGTTAAGCCAAGCTACTGTGTGCCAAGCTACAGTTTGAATTGAAAAGTCCTCTTCAAGGTTGTTGAATGATGATCCTTGGGCATCTTTACTGGTTTCAGTAAGTGATTAACAAATCATTCTGGGGCATCTCCAAATGCTTACTACCTCATTAGGGATCTGGATTGTCAGGGAAGACTTGTTTTTGTTAAGGTACCTGAGCATAGAGCACAGACTTGAAAGCTGGTGTATCTGCAGCAGATCTCCAAGGATGTTAGTCATCTGGATTTTAGAATTTGTTCATCGGGTGCCAGGTGCACTTTTTTATTGTTTAATTACATGCATTACTTGACCAGCAAGCTCAATCATTGGCTTTTGCTGTCTTGCTTGATCTCAGAGGCTTTTAGGGGTTTCATTAGACTCACAATGACTATGTACTCCTCCTCTGACTGAAAAATAAGCTTTTCTTGTCAAAATATGAAGAAAAGCTTGGTCTGAATTGGATTCAGATTTCCAAATGCTTTTTTTTTTTTTTTTTTTTTTTTTTTTTTTTTGAGCGGAGAGGCTTGCAAACTTGTGTCTGTAGGACTGGGTAGCTTTCTGAAAAATTAGAGGAGGAAGGATTGAGCCAAACAAACTATGGTATGTGTTATCAAGCTGCTGATATTTCCATATCTTCTGTGTTTAGAATTATTGGCAAATGTGGTAAGGTGGTTGTAATCTCAGGTTATTACAGATCAAATAAAGCAGTGTCGTTTTTCCCATGGATTATGCATGAAGTAGAAATCAGACCCTGAGGTGTCTAGTTGTGATCTAAGGTGCACAGAAACATCTGGGGTACAGTAAGCTGGCTGGCCTCACCTCAGTCCTGGGAAGATTATGGCACTTGTCTTCATCAGAACCATTTTCAGGCACATGAAGGACAAGAAAATGACTAGAAATAGCATGGATTTACCATGGGCAAACTGTACCTGATGAACATGATAGTGTTTTGTGATGAAGTGATGAGGGCGAGCAAGTGGCAGAGCAGCCTGCTTATTTGTTATTCATTTACTCCTACAGTAGCACAGCGTTCAGAACTTCTGCTGAGAGTAGAAGGCTCAGAAAGGCTCTAATTGACTCCAGCTACCTGAAGGGCAATCATGAAGAAGAGTATTTCTTAAAGATATACTATGAAAAGACAGCCAGAAGCAGTAGTCACAGAATGCAGCAGGGGGAAGTTCTTGTTGGGCACAAGAAAAAGTATCTTTCATCATGAGGATGATGAAGCAGGAGCCAGGGATATGATAGAAGCTCTTGATAGAAGTTCTGAAGTTAAGCCTGCCTTGGGCAGGACTAAACACCTCCAGATGCTACGTATGTAGCTTTCGTTGTTTCCTTTTCTTGAAATAATGTTTTATTGGTGCTCTTAGATTAAATATATACTATTTCCTAAGGGGAAAGGTAAAAAGATATTTGCCTTAAGTTCTTCATGTGCAACTTGTTTCAAATGGCTAGCTTTAAATCTTTAGAAGTGGAGTTGGCTGAATCACGTGGTTGTCTTACAATGCATTAAAAATAAACCAATTCTCCTTCTCCTAAAAAGAGACTTTTATGTTCAGTACAACTCAAGGTAGTGATCAATTTTTGGAACATTCAGCATGCATTTGCCTTAAAAATGGAGGTATTGTTCCCTGCTTATTTCTGATGGTTTAGTCTGAAGAATATCTAAAGAGATTTTCAGGGAAAATGCTGGACCTCACATCTATAGCTGAGGGCATAAAGCTACCTTTTTGATAAAGAACAAATTTTCTTGCTAGCTTGCTTTCTTCCATTAAGTTGTTCGTGCCCAGCGTCCACTGAGTTTCAGTGAAAGTAGCTGTGAGAATGCACTGAGAATATCACCAATTAAACATCCCCATCTCTGTGCATGGTGCTAGCTGTTCTTCAGAATTTTGTATTTGCTACTCTCTGAAGTATAAGGTTTTTATGTTTGTTTGTTTTTGTTATTGTTGTGTGAGATACTAAAACACAACTTTTTTTATTTTTAATTTTTCTTAAACTACCTGGCTCTGATTTCAGACTTTTTCTGTCAAACAAAGTAACTTAATGACTGCATGCAGAATTGTAGCTTATTTTTCACGTGCATCTGTTTCGCACACAAAAAGTAGTAGGCTTGTGCTTGGTGTTGCATGGCAATCTGGGGGGAGGTTCTCTGCTAACTTGGCTTGGATCATTTTGTTGTGTGGGCTGAGAGGCCATCCAGTGAAAGAAGAATACACAATAATTTTACCCTCAAGTGGGCTGGTCACTCTGTAAGCCAAAACTTCCATACCTTTCAAATTAAGTGCACGTTCTTATTTAATAAGTTAATTGAAGGTTGAGGTGCAGCAATTTAGGTAGTGAGGTACAAAGCTATGGGACTTAAAATTATTTCTCTCATGCTCATTAGGTTCTAAAAGGGGATTTTAAAGTGCTGAGCAGCTTTTGCAGGCTAGACCTTCAGTAAAATATAATTCCTTCTGAGGATTATGCACACCAATGCCTTGTGATCTGACCTCGGCAGATCCATGGGGCTCAGAGGTGGATCTAAAGCATGCCTTTCTAAGGAGATGTTTAATGTAATTATCCATATAACAAGCAAACAAAAAGACTGTGAAATGTGGAGGCTTCCTCTTCTAGGGAAGTAAGTATTGGGATCAGAGTTGTGAGCTCCCTTCAGCTTTGACCATCAGTCCGTTGCTGCCCTTTCTTCAACACTGTTTTCTAGCTGGTAAAGTTATCTATGTTCCCACCTTCTTAAAATTGATTTGAAATCTGGATTCAAGAATGAATAAGAGCTTACCTTTTTTTTTTTTCCTTGTTGAATTTAGTTCTGCCACAGCAATGTAGCTGTAACAAGTCTTTTCAGTAGAAGAATAATGGAATATGATGTTTGATGACAGTGTGTTTTTAACTTTGGCTTTGTCTTAGACTCTGTGATCCAACACTTTATAGAGATGGACATAAGCATACTTCCGTGGAGCTGTAACTCTACTGAAGAGGAAGATGAATATTCTACTTGTAAGATTTCAGAAGCCGATTGCAAAGCAACCCAAACAGATACCTTTGTTAGCTGGTTGGCTGCCTGACAGCGACTTCATGTTTATGACTGGGGTTTCCAGACAGATATAAGCAAACACATCTGTCAATACACATTGAATTTAGGAGCTGATGTGCACTGCTTTGTTACAAAGGTTGTCTCTGTGCCAGATACTGTAGCTTTGATGCATGTATAAAATATACAAAAAATATTTTGCATGCCTGTTTAGCCACATTCAATCAATGAAATTAACTAATTAACAATACCCAGCTAAGAAGAGGATACTGTAAAGCTAGCATGCTAAGTCACCAGACTTAGTCAAGTACTTAAGCTTTAGGCCTATGTGAGATCAGTTGTTGAGTTCAGCATACAACAGAAATCTCTTGATATAGCACTGTAGATTTTTGGCTGTCTCTGTTGTAAGGACTGCTTGGAATATTATAGTGTGGTAGCTTTATTCTCCAGGATTTTCTTAAGTGCTTGGTTGAGACTTTGACTGTTTACTGACATTAGCACATCAGAATTTTCTTTCTAATAATGACAAGTCATTAAGTTGCCTTGAAGAAGCTCAAAATAGAGAACTCTCATTTTTGCCTTGCTTTTTTTCCTAAGTCTAATATGATAACAGCATGTGATATAAATAACACACTTTTTAAAAATACTAAGTAAATATTTCTTAATATCGAATGGAGATAAAATTGAAAGTAACCACTAGATGGCACTTGAAAATTGGGTATAGAGATATACTATCTGCTTTCAAAATCATTACGAATTTTGGTAGATTTTACATCAATCTGCACAGCTCTGGGAAAAGCTGGTGTTTCCAAAAACAGAGTTAAATTAAACCACTAGTTAAATTAAACCAGTTACAGAGTTAAATTAAACTAGTACAGCTACTAAGGAATCTAGTCTGCTTTAAAAGCTCATTCTTGATGCAGAAATGCAGCCTAGAAAGGAGTACTTGTAAAACTGAAAAGTATGTGCAGATTAGTTTTCCACTGATTTTTATTTGTATCCAGCTTAACAACTCTGTTCTGTCCTGACATTGTCTTTACCTTCTCAAACTGTCTAAATTGAAATGTTTGCTCAAAATGCATTGTATGTGCTGTTGGTTTAACATTTTTTGAAATATTATTTTAAATCAATAGCTAGGATATTAACCTGGAATTCAGTGGGGGGGGTGAGGATTCAGGAAAGGATCCAACTCAAGACACATGGTTTTTCCTTTTACTCATTTTATGTGCTGGCAAGAGAAGAGATTGTGACAATGTGATTCTGCAGAAAATAAGATGGTAGCTAGGAATTTATTTATCAAGTCAAACTTGTGGCATTTCTGTCACTGCTCATTACAGATTCCTGTTTTATTTGAAAACTCCATGTAGCCTTTTTGTTTCTGAGATGCATGAGTTGCAGTATTATGATGTTATGCATGTATGTATGTACGATGATGTATGCAGTATTATGAGCTAGTAATATTGGAAGATGAGCAAATCTGAGTAAATACTTTCTGTAGTCACTTGTCTTGATTCTTCTTCCATAGGAAAGATGGGTAGGTTGCAGTTGTTCCAAGGGGTTGTTTGACAGATATCTTAATCTCTTGACCTTGAGTTGAAGAAAGCAGAAGTAGATAAACTGTAATGTTCAGTTGTGCAAGGATGTTTTATGGTCTATTAAATATGTATTAAGGGACTAATTCTTCCATTTGCTTACACAGCTGTATTTGGTTCCCCTGACACTGGTAGCAGTTATGATTGAATTTTGTTATGAAAGCATTACGCACATGGTAAACCTTAGAATGGATTACAGTGGCGACAGACACAAGGCCACGTTGTCTGCTTTTTGTGTAAAGTGCTAGGACACAATCAACAAGAAGTGAAAAGGAGAGTCAAACAATTTTCCCTTTCAGCTCTTTTCACCCTGCGATGTCTGCAGCAGTAACATCTCATTTGTGCTGTTTTGTGTTGTGCAAAAGGATTTGGCTGTACTACTGCCATGACTGGACCTTAAAGAAACTTGCATGCCTACTACCCAAAGATGAAAATAAAGCCCTCAGATTGGCA